ACTTTAGGGATTTCGAAATGTTGATAGGTACATTAACTGATCATCATTTTTATTTTACTAGATCGTGCTAGTTACACAAGAATCTACCAGAAATTTTCAGAGCAGTGGGTTGCTGATAAACTTGTTCATATCTGACTTTTACATTTTACTAAACTGATCTTGACGACTGCGAGCTGATACACCAGTAATTTAGAGATCTATATTGATGCTCTTGTAATTATCGTTCAAGCTAAAACCGGATCATTTAGGTTCTGCTTTGTCCACATGTACATGGGTGTTTTAAAAATGTAGATTTTTCGATGTTATAACCTTCTACCATATATAAATGTAGTTTTAGGTCACTGAAAATGTTGCTTTTGGAAAAACTCCCTCGAGGGTAAAGACGTTCAACAACAAGTGATCTTGTGCCAAGGTGGCCAACGGTTTAGACATAAATGTAGAGTTACCTTTGACCTCAATTGAGAATTAGAGGAATCAGAATTCACGTTCTATGCTTTTGAAACTCAAGTTTGGAGCTTCAGAGGGTTAAAAAACTACCTGTGTACATGTGGGCTAGACTTTAGCTAATGTTATTAGTTACGTCGTCTTATGTCGCCTGAAACAAGCAAACCAGTTTATCAGGCAAAACAAACGATAGAGCAGCGAGATACAATCAGCCACAGGTGGTCGAATGATTATTGGATCATCTGTTCAGATGTTGGAAAAGGTTTCAACAACGACAATCACTTAGTAAGTATTTTTCTACACTGGGAGGACGCAACCGAACCACCGCCGTCTGCAGCCGTTTACACTGAGTGAACATCACGCTATCCCTGCTGTATATGTGTATAGTATATATTATAAAGGACTATGGTCTACTGTACAGAGTCATCCACAGAACGAAACGCTGAAATCAGGTTGGACGTAGATGAGCGAACCTCCGGCCTCAGGTTCCTGCTGGGAGTCCCTCTGATACACCTGACGTGAGGTCATTCGCCTGTCGGAGGATTTCTCAGCCAATCAGAACGCGTTTAAACAGAGACACGGCGATGGGAGGGAAGTCAGCAGTGTTCCTCCGCTGGGGAAAGTAGTTCCCTCTTCGAGTCTTGCCCTCCAGTGTCAGCTGATCTCACGTTTACGATCCTCTATTTGTTAAACCTAAAGTTTATCAGAAAACATGTTTCATGTTCCGTCCTCTGGTTCTGTTTGGTTCCACATTTAATAAATAGTCCTTTTTTTAGAGTTTGGTTTGAGATTTGAAGTGTTTTTGTGGTTTAGCTGCCATTTTGTCTCAATCCAATCAGTTTTACTCTTACTACTGTTTTAACTCAACTAAAGCGTTGACTATGACTACTAGCCAGTGTTAAACTTTATGCAGATTGTACTTTTCAAACGGGGGATAAATACTTTTGGCGCCACTGGTTCCTAAAATAAAACCGTGTGTAGACAGTTGCTTTGTTTACGTATAATTCTCCAACAAATCGGAAGCAAAATCTCACAAAAACAATAAAATAAGAAAATGCAAATCAGGCCTGTTTACATGATATGCAATGGAGAGTTTTGTCAGAAGGTGGCGCTAGAGGCTACATGGATGTAATAAAGAGAGTAGAAGAAGCTGGAAACACAACAGTTGTTCTCTAATGATGGGGGAAAAAAAAGTCCTTCTAGGAGAGAAAAATGGATGTAATGCTGTATCGAATTATTTTCAAAAGTCAAAAACACCTTTACTGTAAAACTCAGCAAGTTTTTTAAAATTATACCTCGGCCATGAACTGTTTTTAAATTCAAAAGCTGCAACTGAGCATTTTGAATTCACCACAGCGGGCCAAAAAAACCTGATAATTAACAACTGAATTAATGATTTATGTATGTTTGTATGGTTCAGAATACTAAACGGTAGAAGTTCAGAGTTAACAAAAATACTTTTTAAAAAAAAACAGCATTGTGTTGGAGATGTTAATGACAAACTTTAACTATTTCTATACTGTTGTTGTTTATTATTATATTGATGTTGTCTTTCGTTAAATCTTTACTAAAAATGCCCCAAATAATTAGTTAGTGCAATGCTGGCCTTTATTTGGCTTGTTTTTAATTTATCATTTGCATCTTTCAAATAACGTCAGTTTGGGAATTTTCTTTGGCTTTCCCAAAAAAATGCCACATCTAAAAGTATTCAGCCAGAAGGAACCTTTGACTAAATAATTTTGTGCATAATAATGTGGAAAAAAAACAACACAAAAAGTTGACATTTATCATAAACACCTTTAATCCAGTGTTAGGTTTGTTTACCAGCCAGAAGAGGCTTATTGGTGGAAAAAAAACAATATAAATCAAAATTTGGTGCAGAATGAATTTGGAGTTACTAATTTCTTTCATTCTTCCAAATCTGTCGGTTTTTCGAAGCTTAATTTTCCCAAAAAAAACAGCAACGTGATAAACTACAAAGATGGAGACAGAATGGCGGTGCAGGTTGATGGTTACCAGGGTGAACATAGAAACAGGTGCGACTAAGAGCCAAAATGGCCGCCGCCGCCGGAACTCTGACGAACTGATCAAACCTGTGGACAAACAATCTTCCTGCTGATTGGCTGAGAATCCGTGTTTGTAACCTGCGCGTGAAAACCTTCCTGATTCTCATCTAGTTATGATTTTACGGTTTATGGTTTCCCTCCTCCCCCCTCCTCCTTTCTAGCTTCCTCTTTTTACGGTATGTTTGTAGTTTCTTCTGGAGTGAGTGGTGTGCGTGTACTTGTAGTTTTTTCTTCCCTTTTCTAAAAACCTGAAGAGCACACGATGACAACTGGTGAGCTCTGCAACGCAACAGATTGTAATCTTTATAATAAACTGTCATTTATTACAAAGTGAGCGCCCGGCCTCCACGTGTGGTTCTTTAAACTTTAAACGGCAGGTTTCGGACCTCTGACCCCATATGGACACTAAAGCCGAGTTAATGAGTGACGAGTTTCACCTCAAAGTTAAAAAAGAAACTTCCATCAGTGGGTTCAGGCTGACTGGAGTCACTGGGTTTACTGGTTCTACTCTCCTTGTTGGGAAATTACCTCAACAGTGTCTTCATTTCTTAAATTAAACACATAAATTAATCAATATTATCGCCTAAAAATAAAATGTTCAAGGGGTTTGAGCTTCATTCTGTTTAACAGCTTGGTATTCCAGTATCCAATCAATAATCAATGTATTTATCACATTTATCAAACCAGTTTTCCTGCAATATTCTGCAGAAAATAAGCCATTAATTATTATTAAAAAGTGAAATATACATCTTTCGTATCACTGTAAATGCATTTTTTTTCAATTTTTAAGTTTTAAATTGAAATTTTTGAACAATTTACTATTTTTTTTTCTTGTTTTATTAAATTAGAGAAAAGAAATATTAATTAATTTACAGGCTAAGTGTTGAAAATAAACATCCCAAAACTGTAAATCATCAAAAGATTGTAATTTGTTTGTGGCTTTTTTAAAAAAAACTTTATTCATATCAGCAAATAAACAGCATTATTTTACAAATATTTGTATATTAAGAACTTTACAGATTTTCCCCGTTTTGATAAATTAAGTAAAATAACAGAAAGAAAAGTAATAATTTGCTATTTGCGAAAATACAGGTTTTTAATGCGGATATTATTCCCTTTTTTTAATTTAATGTATTTTTTTTTTTTAGCTGCTGTGATTTACCAAAGAGGGAAAATCTATAAAACAACAGTTTAATAAATTGTTTTGTATTTTCCGGTCCTTAATATACATAATTTTTTGTTAGTTTTGCCTCTTAAATAAATTAATAAATAAATAAATCAGGGTCAAAATGTAAATTAATACTTTTTTTGTGACTTTACTTGTTATTATCTGTAAAGTCACAGTAAACTGTTAAGCTAAATAAATATAAAAACACACGCAACACTCAAAAAGACAGTTTGTTTTTTCGTAAATAAATCATCAAGTCGATGAGCTTTACAGAAAGTAAAGTAGAAAAGTGAATTTAACACTTTTGAAGCCCTTCTGAAGTCTTTTTGTTTGAACTGCGGGACAGAGATGAATGACCTGTGGAGGCTGAACACACACACACACACACACACACACACACACACACACGTGAACTTGGACCGGGCCGGTGTCAGGACCAGTGAAGCCGGAGCAGCAGATTTTTTTGGGGGGGGGGGTTGAGTAAACCTCAGCCGGAACCCGATTGGCTCGCTGCCTTGTTTGCGTCCTCCTCCCTGCTCTCTGATTGGCCGGCTGCCTTCTGACCCCCGGCTGCTTGACAGCGAGCTGCACACTTGACGGACGGCTAACAACACCTGAGCAGGTACGTTCCTCTGAGCTGCTGACTGAACCTGTTAACTGAGGAGTGACACTGATCCTGTGTCCTCATGTGGGGTTAAATCAGTTCCTGTGGTTCCACCGTTTGTCAATTAGGTTTAAACGTCTGGACATCGATGCACTTCAGGGTTCGATTTAAGTGTTTATGAACCTTTTATCCACAGAACACATAAACGTGAAACAATCAGACAGTTTGAGACAACAGACGTTCGATACGGAGCTCATAAAACAGAATATAAGGAAAGTTCATGTGATCCTCAGATAACTGATTCAAAGTTTTTTGTTTTAAAGATATTTAATCTCCTCCTCGATCGGATCTCGCTGATGCTCCTGAATTTAAATACGTAAAGCGTCTGACAGCGTTGCACACGTCTGCACATTCTTGAGTTTTATCTTCAGCTGAAATATCAAACAATAAACCTGGTTTACAACCACATTTTTTTCCGATCATTGCAAGCGTTTTTATTTTCGTCATAACTGCATATAAAAAAAGAGCCGTAATTATCCTGCTGGTCGATGAAAACAGTTTCTTTTTCAGAGTATTACCTTCTAAAGAGACGCCTTAAAGAAAACAACAACGCAGCTGTTTATGCCCATTAGGAGGAAGCTCTAATCGATTATCAGCTGATCTGATGCAGGTCCAATCAGATTTATAAACCGGCTCGGCGTTTGGTTTCCAGGCAGCCATGACGTCCATCCCAGACCTGATCAGGAAGAAGAGAGACGGCGGCGAGCTGAGCGACGGCGAGATCAGGACCTTCGTCGGCGCCGTTTCTGGTGGAACCATCCAGGAGGCCCAGACAGGTACGAGCAGCTCGACGCTCCTCCGGCCTCGGCTGGACGACGCTATTGGC